GAACTTAATTTCATTTACAAACTTGATACTTGCAATAGAGGATTAAACAAACACCTTAACTGGATTACCGGCTACATTCTACATCCTAAGGACTTCAAAAGCCAAGCACAGGGTACTTAAGAGTACTTAAAACCCACTCTATCAGCTTCATTTAGCATGAACACTTTAATAGAAGGAAAAAATGGGGGGCGGGAAAAATGGTCTTTCCCTCCCGATCCCCTCTCTTTCTCTGCTGTTTATTTGCAACCTGGATCACTTAACTCCATTCATCTGAAGAAGTGTACATTTTTGTTAGTCTCTAAGATGCTGTAGGACTATTTGTTAAGTTTTTACAGGTACTGTTGTAATCACAACCACCTCTCCTCCCCCCCAAGCTTTCTCTGGCAAGGTGTGGGGGGCTCTGCTTTGTGCCCTTGGAAAGGGCAGAGTTGCGTGAGCCAACCGTTAGTGCCCTTTGGCCTGCAGCACTGGTCCTCTCGCCTGCCCTCAGAGCATCACTGTGGCAATGATTTAAAGGGCCCAGAGCTCCCTGCTGCTGCCAGACTTGCGATATGACAGTACCCCTAAGACATTTCAGTTAGTTTCACTCTTGGACCGAAAAAAGATGAGCCATCAAAAATAGGATGAATCTGGAACAGGGCTGCTTCTCAATAAACCTTACATAAGAGAGACCAAATGGAGAAATTTGGGAGTCCTGCTGTGTTTTGGCACAGCTAAATCAATGCTTAAGATTTGAAAACTCGAAGAAAATGTTATTGGAAACCAAACTGACCCTTTTTGTTAAAACAGGGCAAATGATAAGAGTTTATAGGGATGAAAAAACACACTTGATGGAATTCCCATTTGAAAATATTTACTAAAAATTAAATGGAAAAACAAATTTTTATTTTGGATTTCTTAAAAAGGATTCAGTCCATAAAAACACTATTTTTGAAAAATACAATCTATTAAATAAGCATGTACATTTTCCTTTTATTGTCCATTAGGTATACCCTGTAATTAGATAATCAAGTAAATACACGTTTGATGTAAGATTATTAGACTTGATGGAAACTAAGGAACAATTGTTTAGATTGTTGCCACGAAATGCATTGTGTATGTACCTGTAATTGAATCGCCCAACCAACAGGACTGGAGTTTTAGAACTGTAGAAGATGATGCACACTAACTTCCATCCATAGGCCAATAGCAAATCCACAGACCTAGTTTATTTTTAGTCAGAGGAAAAGGCCCATGATGGAGATAGTCCCAGAAAGCAAGCTGGCAAGTAACAGCTTTAAGAATGGATCCAGGGAGCAATCCAGTATCTTTGGATTCACAAACTGGGTGAAATACTTAGTGACTAGACAGAGATCCCTAGAGCTATTCTAGGGAACCGAGACATTTATGTAAAACTAGCAGATTACAACTCTTCTATCAGTTAGGATTTACAAACTTTGACCCACCTGAAGATGTATCGTACCTGCTTTAATCTCTCAATAATGCATTTTTTAACCGAATGAACCTTTAGTTAGCTAGATAAATTGGCTGTCTTTGTGCGAGACCCAGATTATCCATTGACCTGGGATAAGCACCCAACTCTTTAGGATTGGAAGTAACCTAATGTGATTTTTGGTTTTAATACCCTTTCATCACAAAGTCTCTCTTGTCTAGGTGGTAAAGAGGGGCTGGAGAACCTAAGGGAACTATTTTCAGCTCCATGGTAAGATTAATAGTGATCCATGGTTGCACATTTGTTACTGGCTTGGTGAAATCGTTATAAAATATACCACTTGTGTGGGGTGACTACCTTGTTTTCTGGCAGTTTGACCCCAAATTGGCATGCTCAGGTGTAAGCCATACCAGACAACATGACAATCTCGTACTGAATCTCAAGGCACCCTTCTGTTATCCCTTTGCCAAGATGAAAATTGTCTGCTTAATCCTTTTTCTTTTATGCCACCCAGAAGTTTTCAATCTTAGTAGTGTTCTCACCCAATGACTACTTAGCTTCTTTAGTAGCCTCTTTTGAGGGATCTTGTTAAAGATCTGCTATTTTACTGACACACAATTGAATTAAGGAGGCAAACTTTTCCTTTGCAGAAAAGTTCACCATAAACACCTCCTTTAAAGCTTTAGAAGGTAGCAGAGTTTTTTCTGTACAGACTAACAACAAATGGTCTGGTAGCACTTTATAGTTCTGCTGGAACCCTGAATTGTAGCCAATACTCATAGAAGGAATGTGTTGAATATCTTAATATGTACTTCAGTGTGTTCGTTGTGAAAACTGTCAAGCTGCCAAGAATCCCAAAAATGAAGACAACGGTCATCCATGTCTATTATTCCAAGCCATGGTCACGTATTTTTAAAGCTGCCCTATCTGACACAATCACAACATTCAGCAATAGAAAAGCCACCTGACTCAAGTTCGAAAAGTAAACCGCATGCTCAGCAGAGGGAGCCTAAAGCCCTTGAACAGGGATCCAAGGGCTTAGACAGAACTATGAAAGACCTAAGAAAGCTAAGCCATTGGGCAGCTCAATAGCAGATGGAAATTCAGTTCAACAAATCCTGATTAGCTAAGTTTGGGACTGTTGGGAATGCTGAGTGGGGGCTGAGGGGAGCTGCAGGAACTAGATTGAAACTAGGCATGTTAAATATCAGTTAATTGTATAGTCGATTAACCTCATGAATTCTTATCAGTTAGTCGACTAGTCTCTGGGGTGGGGCTGGAAACCAGTGTGCTCCAGCCCCACTCCCGAGGAGCCCCCTGAATCAGAGGCAGCAGTGTGGGGTGCCAGGTGGGAGCTGGTCCACAAAGGGAGCCAGTTAAAAAAACAGCTCCCCTCATAGACCAGCTGCCTGTCTCCACGCGCTGCTGCCTCTGATACAGAGGCAGCAGCACAGGGTGGCAGTAGCCCCTGTCCAGGAGAGGAGCTGAGCTCCTGGACCCAGCCTGAGCCAGAACTGAACCAGGCTGCCTGCCCATCTTGCTCCTAATACACTTTAAATGCAGAGCCACAGTGGGGGTAAGTACCAGACAGCGTGAGCCACAACTGAACTGGGCTGCTGGCAAGCCTGCTAAAAAAGTTACTGGCAGGTGGGGGGAGGGAGAAATGCGTGTAGTCTATAGCATTAATCTATAAGATTTTGCTTATCGGTTAATCGACTACACTATTACATCCCTAGTTGAAACTATGGGCTTGAGGTTGCTAGCTGCTGCTGCTTCTCTTTTCCCTATCACTCAGGTCTCCTTTAGGACAGCTCAACAGCAATCAGAAGCTCTGCTGATCTTAGAATCATAGAATAATAGGACTGGAAGGGACCTCAAGAGGTCATCGAGTCCAGCCCCTGCCCTCAAGGCAGGACCAAGCTCCGTCTACACCATCCCTGACAGATGTCTATCTAACCTGTTCTTAAATATCTCCAGAGAGGGAGATTCCACCACCTCCCTTGGCAATTTATTCCAATATTTGACCACCCTGACAGTTAGGAATTTTTTCTTGCTCCAGAATTGAGCACAGTGAGGGTGGAGGAAAAAAAAGAATGAGACCTCCAAGTAGCTTGACTTGAAAGTTGGATGAACAGCACACTGAAGACGGGGAGAGAGGAAGTTTTTCCTAGTTCTTGTTCTCTGGTTCTCTTGAGTTTTAGTGACTATTGTAGGGTTTCCAACTGCCATGATTGTCCTGGAATCTTTAGGCATTGAAGATTATCATGTGATAGAACCTCCAGGAATATGTCCAACCAAAACTCGTAAGCCTGACATGGGTTTCTGTTATTTTTTTTCCCTTCACATGGTGGGAAATTGTGATAGACTAGACACTTCTCAGAGTCGTTCAGTGATCAAACCCCACCTGTTCATATGTCTATTAAGAATACTATGTACAGTTGAGTGATTAATTCACAAACCCTCTATCTTCTAGACATAAATCAAGCACTAATTGCCTGGAGCTGGAAAGAAATTTCCTCCATGTTATTGCAAAGTTGTTCATTATGGGGCAATCAAACACTGGAGTACTATGTCCAGTTCTGGGTGCCACACTTTAGGAAATATTTGGACCAAATAAAAGAGTGCAGAGCAGATCAACAAAAATGCTAAAGGTTTAGAAAAACCTCACCTCTGGGGAAAGGTTAAAAAGGTTTAAAAAAACTCGACACATTTAGTCTTGAGAGAGAAGACTGAAGCATTACCTGATAATTCTTCAAATATGTTAAGAATACTAAAGATGATGAGTATAAATTATTTTGATATCTCGTAATTTGCACAGGCCAAGTATGTAGAAAAGTATTCCTGTTAATGGGAAAAACATGATAGTTTAACACAGTCATACGAGTTTTATTTTTATTAGATACAGCTTGAAAACTATTTTAGTCCAAATAATTTTAACCTTTGCCAGTAAATTAGCTCTTCATGTTTATATGTACATAGGCTGTTCTTTTGGTGATAATCTACTGATACCAATTTATATCCAACTGGAGTGTCTCTTGCAGTGGTCTCATGCAGGAAACCTCTCCCTGGTTTAGAGAGACTACATGGAATTCTGTAGAATTCCATTTAAAAATATTTTGGGAATTTTTACTACAATTCCATAAAGAAGAATCTGACTTCAGTGTCAAGGTAATTTCTGACCTGACAAGCTAGTGCTTAGGTAGGTAATATTGTCTAGAGGAATTACATTTCAATGGTTAAACATATTAAGTCAATGACTGTCTTTTATTCTTTCCCACCACCCTATCAAAGGACATCCATGATGCAATATGTTTCATAGTAATACATAGTAGCTTCACAATATCAAACAGAATTTGTTTGCACCATTTCCTAAATCAAAATAAGCCCCTGATTTAAAATAAAGTAAGTATCCACACAACCTTTTGCACTGGTTTAAGATCACAGTTAAAATTAAGCCATTACAACTTTGTGTTCGCATGCCTTATTTTCAAGTGTCCTCCATATGCTCAATGTTGTATTGTACATCATATATCAGAACAGCAATGAATCATGGAGAGATTATCAACAGTACTTATTTAATGATGTTTTTATTTTATGGCATACAAACTAAGTATTGAACAAGAATTAAAGTGCTTAATTTTACAATATGCCAACTCCCATCTTTATGACCAAATGTACATATGTTACACAAAATATATACAATATCTGCAAATATTTTACATTCATATATTTCTTGACCAGAAAAATTACCGCTTATTTGCACAACTCAAATTTTGCCTCTTTTCTGAAATTTTGCAATTCAGTGTTAAGTCAGAGCAAATTTATACCTAATTTATTAGGATTTTTTTAAAGCAAAATAAAATTCATTTTTTTCCAAATTAAACTGCAAACAGTATTTTCATAATTGAGAGATTCTAATGCATGGCATGTATGTCTGACATGACACACTGGGGCTGATGCAACTCCCAAAAAAATAAACAGTTCAAATTTCCATTAGCTTAATTGGAGATATCTTACTGTATGTAAAATACTACTCTTCAATTGCAAATGATTATTCATATATAACAAACTTGCCCTCTTTCCTCTAAGCATTATGGCACCTCTGTGTAAAAGATGCTTTGACACCGTTTCCTCCCCTTTCTTAAATATTCCACCATAAATAGTTAATGAATCCACAAGAATAAACTATAAATTGAACTAGGTTAGTATCACACATTGATAGAAACAACATGTTTTATTCATGGACATCCTTTGCTTCACTATTTAGACAAGAAAAAACAATCTACGTTTATTTGAAGGGATGGTGATGACAAGGCCATGAATAAATCTGTGCATAATTTAATAAAGAGACAGTACAAAAAAATGACTGACTATTTAGCTGTATATTTAGACTGAATTTCAGCTTATAAATCAGTTGGAAACAGGCAATTAAAGTAGGTCTACTTACGCATTGATTTTTATCCCATTAAAGTATATACAACTGTGTCAAAAGATTACTTATATTTTTAATTCACAGTGTAATTTTGATTGTAAAATGCAGTCTGAAACAGATTGGTCTATTATAATTGTCTTAAAAAGATACATTTATTAAGCCTTCCCATTGTTTTATAAAAAGGAGAGAGACAGGACTAAGAAGAAATCTGATTGGCAAATGTAAATTTCCATCCAAAGAATATATTTCACTATAGTCCAATGGCTCAGAACTGCATGGGTAAATTAGCTCTCTCTTATCAATATGGCCAAGAAGTAGATGACAGCACTATAAAACAGCTCTTTATAGTTCATTGTAAGCCTACAAACACAGTTAGAGCCATATATACCTCATCTATTTTTTCGAGCATTAGTAGATTCTTCTCATACAATTGTTATTTGTCCACTCCCATACTTTATCTGGATAATCTATTTGAAAGCAAATGATTTGTTCTCAAGGACTTCCATCTCCTTATTCTCACTTATACCATTGTTAGTAGTTTTGGGAGTTGCAACACTGATAGGATTTTGAACTCAATTTTGAGCTGGATCTTGTCCTGTGATTCCAGGTGAATGACAATAGCTGTAGCATGCCTGAAGATGGAGTGACCCTAGTTCCCATAAGCATGCCTTCAGATAATATATGCAACATCTAGAGCAAGTGTAAAATCTCACAGCTGTTTAGGCTCCACTGGAGCTATGCCAGTTTACACAGCTGCGCCTATATACTTTTCATGGATGGGTCTCAATTGTTTATATATTTAATGTTTTTAAAACTTCCTTTAAGAAAACAGATCTTCTTAGAACTGGTTTAAAAAATGAGAAGACAACTTTTTTTTTAATTTCCTCTAATTTCAAGGGGGAAACAGAAGCTTGGTCAACTACAGACCTAGTAAAAATGAAGAAAGATTTCATAAAAAACTTCTTGAATTTTTCTGCATCTTTTCAAGATTCAGAGTTTTGACCACTCTACTTAGAACCTATTTGAATCTTTGTCAGTAACCTCTTCTAAAGCCTATACATATTTGGGGTATTTGTTTTGTATTCAATCTCTGCCTCAATTTACTCCCTATATTAAATGGAAGAATCAATACACTTCTAACCCCACAAGGGTATTATGAGGTTTATTAAACAGTAGTAAAGAGTTTTGAGAGCCTCTTTGTAAAAAGCTGTAATTGTGTGTGCATGCACATTGCATTTTAAATATTTTAACATTCCACTCCTAAAGGAAGAGAATGTTTTCAGTGCTTGTTTTTTTGGGGAAAAAATCCTTTTGAATTGGGGTATTTAAACACAAAAAATAGTCCTATCAAAGTCAATAGAGTTGAAGCTGCAAGATGTTACAGCAGGGATGGGGAACCTTTTTTGGGAAAGTGAGAAACCACTGCCCTCCCACCCTCAACCAGCATGGGCTCCCCAATGATGGGGGGAGGGGGAACCCTGAACCTCAGGGACTAGATCAAGACAAGCTGGGGGCCACATCTGGCCCCCAGACCTCTGGTTCCCCACCCCTGTGCTACAGGCTTTAACTGCCCTTACTCATTCAAGTGTAATTATTGAAGCCATAATGGAACATACAGGAACAGTAGTGTAGAAATGTTGAAGACATATTAAAAATAATGCATAGGGTTACCAAATGAAATTATGTGCTTGCAGATAAGAAAAATCTGTTGAAAGTTATTTTGTACATTTTATCATTATTTGACGAATATATGCAACTAAAGCTTTTTGACTAGCCATCATTTTGGTAGAATATAAGGGGGGGAAGTTAAATCTGACTAACGCAGTAAGTAGTCAAATATTTGATAAGCTCTAAATTGCACAAATATATTCTCTATCACATAAAACATTTTAAAATGACAAATTTCAAAAATAGGGGTGGCAAAGCTAAAATAATGTAGCCATTCACATTAATTATAAAAGAATGCCCATTTGTTACTTACACATATGGTAGCATCTCTTCATGCAACTAAAGTTAACATTAATAAAGGTTTTCTTTAGGGAATTTGGTTTTAAAAAAACCTCACTTTGGGATGACATTTGGACCACAATATAAGTTGTCAGGTTGGAAACATTTTTTCTTTGTACATCAGATGTCCTAACACCATGGGAATTAAAGCATAAGAGTTACTACTTTTATTTTGTCTCTTTGCAGACAAATTAAACAGGAGCTTTTGCATGTGATTATGTGGATTAGCCTTTGAGGTATTGAGTAAAATACTTTGAGTCACCACTTGCTCCAGAAAAGCAACCTCTGTCCTTTACTGTATTTTGTTTTTAGAACGGTGGGCAAGTGTTTATACTCATAGAACACACACAATCAAATAATTCTTGCTTTTTAGAGTCTCCCATTACATGTTCATTGAGAAAGGAATAGGTTTTGAGCAAACTTATGGTAATAAAGTGAAATAAATTACTTGAGTCAAAAACTTAATTACTGATTCACACAAACTTTAATGGCTCAGAATGAGCTCCCATGGAACAGGAATGAGAAAAAGAGACCAGCTACTTGAACACCAGATTTCTGATTTTGGCCTATTCCCTAATCCATAGTCTGATTTTGGAAGTAGTAATTTAGGGCATAGACTTTCAGAGGTGCTGACTACTTGCCACAGCTCCAACTAAAGAAATTGTAGATACTCAGGCTCTCTTGAGAGTATCAGACACAAATCTCTGCTTCTCAATTTTCCCTGTCTGGGAAAAAGGGAAAAATATCTGGCTACTTATATGCCTCATAAAGAAGACCAAGTTGATGTTTGGGATATGTTTTGAAAAAATGGAGCACTTTATTAGTGCTATATATTATCATCATCCATCCAGATAATCCCTTCCAGTGGGAGGGGAGCAAAAGAGAATAAAAGAGGTTTTCCTTATAGGATTCCTTTTCTACTGTGTGGGTAAGGGAGCTGTCCAGTCACGCAACAGGCCCTGAAACCTCCAACCATAAAGAATCTACATCATTTCCTGAGAATGGGCAATGATATCCCCCTCAAGATGCACTGAGAACCAGGTCCCCAGAACCAACAGTTCCCTTGGGAACTCCTTTTGAAGGTGGATCTCCATGGAGGAGAATTGACATGGAACGATAAAATACGGACTCCAGGTAGTTCTTTCTGGTCAGAGCTCAGCCTAGGTGTTTCCATGCCCCGATCCTGGATGGTTCTGTGTCCCCTCGGAACATGTAGAAAAAAAAGCAGCAACGCTACTGCAGAGAAAGCCAAGTCACCCAGCACTTTGGCTATGTCTACGCTGTTTTTTTTTTTTTTTTTGCAGAAGAGGATATGCAAGTGGTGCCCTATTTGCATATCTTCTTCCGATTCTTTTCGCGGCAGAGATTTTGCCGCTAAAAAGCCCTGTGCAGATGGGGCCATTTGTCAAGAAAAAACTGTTTTTCGCAAGATCCCTTATTCCTCAAATATCAAGGTTTACAGGATCTTGAGAAAAAGGTGTTTTTTTTCCCCGACAAATGGCCCCGTCTACCTGTGGTTTTTCAGAGGCTCCCCAATGATGGTACATTAGAGACTCCATTTAAAAATGTAGTGAACAGGATTACATGCAGAACAGCCTGGACCAAGACCAAGGGGCAAATTACAATGCCATAATCCTGGACAATTTTATGAGGCCAGATTCTGATTCACATGGATAGAAATCTGCACTAATTCCACTAAAGTCAGAGCATTACACCAGACTGCCAGTAGTACAACTGAGAGGAGAATCTGGGCCACTGACTTCAAAGAACTTGCATAGGAGGTATGTTAGTACACTATTTGTTGTGACTGTCTTTTGTTTACCCTGTTCACCCTGGGTATTAGGCAATACAAACAGAACTAAATGACATTAGGTAAATTACTGTAGAAGTACAAGTGACTGAAGTATAATCTTTCACCCTCAATGCTAAAAAAAGTAATGTCTGTCTTAAAATGACCATGAAATTTTGGGATAAAATAAATCTGAACTCAAATTACTCATTTTTATCTAACTGTAAAAAATGGACGCACTCAAAACTCTGGCTTTATCTCACAGAGTTTTAAAGAAGACTATCTACATTTTGTGACTTGGGATCATCTCAATTGCTATATTAAAGAAAATTCAAAAGAAGTCTTATTTTCTAAGTCATGAATTGATTAACTTGCTCCATTCAAGAGCCACTTATTGTATATGCACTATCATGTCATATAGTCCATCCAGAATAATAGAGTGGAATTCTCTTATAGCAGAGTCATTTGCATCTATATAAAAGACTATTAGAAATGAAGATTCATCATGGGCCCAATAGTCAAAGCCTCTCACAGGCAAGTCTTTACTTCCAAGAGCAGTCCTACTGAACTCAACAAGAATCAAGACTACTCATGCAAGTCAAGATTTTTCATCAGCGTGCATGCAAGGAAGTTTGACATACAGTATGATGCGTAATAATCCTAGCAGACGGTTTTTAGTTCTTACCAGTTGATGCAATGTGTATTTGTGAAAGTTAAAACATATTAAACATGTCCAAGTGTTTCAATGACCATATAGGCAAAAATTATGAGATCCCAGAAGTTCATTTAAGACCAAGATGCTAATTGCTAAAGCACATATTGTATTTTAAAAAGGTAGCACAGTACCTTCAGAAAGGTAACAGGCACAGAACAAAATTATTTAAAAAAAAAAACTATTCTTTTTTAAAAAACACAGCTGGAACTGACAAATCCATTACATGCCACTTAAATTACTATTTTAAAAAATTCTTAATGCACAAAATTAGCAAGATCAGTAGGGGAAAGCTAGTTAAACAAATCACTAAATAGTGACATCAATTTAGAACCCTTTGTTTAATTTGCAAGAGAAAACATGCTTTATTTTAAATAAATTATAGACTAATAAGAACCTTTTGTCACGAAGTCAAAGCAAAATCAAGTACAATTTTTTCTAATACTGTACATATATTGTACTTATTTTTCATATTTAGCAATTAATTTCCAAACTGAAAATGAAATTGTTTTCCTGAAACAGACTTTAAAAGCCAAAACTGTAAAATCAATTTGCATTAAAAAAGTGAATATAACATATGTACAGCATTGTGTAAGTAGTTCTATAAACTTAGATACAATAAATCAAATTGTCCCTGTATATTTCTCTACAGATCTATTTTGGTGATGCAGAGGTATATCTTTTTTACTGCTAAAGACCTAACATGTAAAGGATGCATTAACTATCCACATTCTTTATTAAAGTTTTGCCCAATAGCAAGTGAATCATACAATGCAATTTATTTTGAGACAAACAATAAGTACACTAACGTTAATAGGGTTTTGTTCTTTTAATGGCATTTTATGTTTTTTCTTAAAAAAAAAATCATCGGTGAAATGGGTCTGTACATTGACTTTATTGACAGAACATAAATATAAGAAAGTGATCTCTAAATAGATCAGTATCTTTTCAACATAAAGTGCTAAGAGATGCATGTAGTAATTAGGAGAATTTGCTTCTTTTGCTTGTACAAAGAAAAATTAACCAAGAATCTGACTGGATTTTTTTTAAAACAGATCATGGTCTTGAGCTTCAGCATTCAGATTTTTTAGATGATTCAGGCTGCTCCTCTAAACTTGTCGGCAATTCATTGTGACATTCTGGTGTCTCACCTTTGACAGCTAAATGGATGACTTTCAACCATTTCTGTTTCAGTTCCTCACTGTCTGCTGCAAAGCTGTGCACAGATTTGGACTGAGTCAGTTTAAAGCTATGCGGGAGGTCAGCACTTCTTGGAGTGTCATCTACTGCATAGCCCAGTAGTGGAATTGTAGCCAAAGCTTTAACATCCTAGGAAAAAGAAAAAAAAAAAAAAACCAGTAACAACCTGCTTTGGTACACAATACAGGCTGAAAACAACTCCTTGACTGTCTCCAGGCCTGAAGAAGAACTCTGTACAGGCAGTCCCCAACTTACGCGGATCCGACTTATGTCGGATCCGCAGTTACGAACAGGGCGAGAAAAGCTGCTCTGTGTCTTCCTGGTCTGCAGACCAGGAAGACGCGGAGCAAAGCCGCGGAGGGGCTCCGGCAGCGAAGCAGCCCAGGCGCGTCTGGGCTGCCCCCCTGCCGGCTTCCTCCGAGGCTTTGCTCTGCGGCTTCCTGGTCGGCCGACGAGG